AAAAGAGAGAATAAAAAAAGTAACGTACAGATAGAGATTAGAACCTGTTTGGTTGGGTGGGGGAATTTTCACCATCGTACCTACTTGTAAAACCGATTGATTTGATCCCTCATCCCCCTATCCCCTGTATTTAGAACGTGACGAGTTTAAGTGGCAAACTCTTATATTTTAGGAAGAATCCTATATGATAAAATTGCACACTTGGTTATTAAGTTTGGTAAATTTTAGTTTACCTTATATTCAAAACGTGACGAGCTTAAGTGGCAAACTCTTATGTTTTAGGAGGAATCCTATATAGTAAAATTACATGCTTGGTTATTAAGTTTGGTAAATTTTAGTTTACTTTCAATTCAAAAATAATAAAATTGAATGCTTGGTTATTAAGCATGGATAAATTTTAATTTACTTCCAATTCAAAAATAAATAGGTCCGAATTATCCATAAATATATTGATTATTTATGGTCATGTTATATGTATTAATTGTATTTTAATATTATTTCTTATTATAACTACTGAATTGTAAATGTATTTTAAAAGTTAATAACTTTTGTATTTTTTATCAGTTTTACATATATAATATATCGAATTAATCATCTCTTGATGGACTTCGATTTAACATCAGTAAGTATAAAAAAATAAATGATATTTATCTTTATATAATAATATTTTTTCAATTAGAAAGATAAAATTATTTATCAGTTATATATTTTCAAGTAATTATGTGATATAAGTTATAAAATTACTAATATACCACATATAAGTCGCGCAAGTAACAAGTGTCGTTCTAAACTATATAATTATATATATTTTTTGTAAAAAAGTAAATAAAATTTAAAATATTTTTTTCATTAATTTTAAAAACAAAATAATATTTTAACCAGCACTCGTGTAATACACGGGTATTGTACAAGTATTTATTTATTTGACAAAAAGATATATTAATATTTAATGCTATTAAATATTTTCTTTTATTTATATTACTTCTAATAATTATATTTTATTTATATTACTTCTAATGCAAGTTGACCTGTCATTATTGAAATTTCATACTTTTATTTATGTCATTTTATTATAATATGGCATTTCAGTTTAAAAAGAACTTGAACTATGATTCTATCAGAAAGCCATGAAAGCCCACAAGCAGCTGCAACTGAGAGCTATATGTTGAGCACTTTTGGAAAAATCAATTTCATAAATGGATCTGAAAACCAACAAAGTGATTGGTTCTACTGAATCCAAAAATAGATTATATCACATGTCTTTTTCTAACCATAATTGTAATTTTCATTTTCCTTGTGTATTTGTGCCACCAAGAATCTGCTGCCAATGTATCTATTGATGTTTCTAATATGTGGCACTATAGGCTTGGACATCTATCATTTCATAAGCTTGCTTCTTTATCTGTCATTCCAACATGTAACACTCTTACTAAAAATCCATGTGATGTTTACCATTATGCTAGGCAAAAAAAAATTACCTTTTCATACAAGTCAATCCATTACTTCAGCACCTTTTGATCTCATTCATTGTGATGTTTAGGGACCACTTTTTGTTGTTTCTCATTCAGGATACAAGTACATCTTAACTATAGTTGATGACTTTAGTAGAGTTGCTTGGATATATCCTTTATTTTCAAAAATCTGACACCAAACATTATTTAGAAAATTTTTATAACATGGTCTCTACTCATTATGACAAGAAAAATTAAGATCATTAGGACAGACAATGCACTGAATTTATTTTGTCTAGTTTCTTTCATACCCATGGCATAATACATCAAAAATCTTGTGTTGAGACTCCTCAACAAAATGGTAGAGTAGAAAGGGAACACCAGCAGTTATTACAAGTAGCCGGGGCAATCATGTTCCATGCACATTTGCCATTATCTTTCTGGGTTGATTGCATACTTGCTGCCACTCAAGTCATCAATAGAATACCATCTCATATTCATCATGGCATATCACCTTTTGAAGTTTTAAATCAGAAACAGCCATCGTATGATCATCTTAGAGTTATTGGTTGTCTTTGTTATGCATTAACAATTTTATCTGGAAGGTCTAAGTTTGACAAAAGAGCATCCAAATGTATCATGCTTGGTTATCCACTTGGTTGTAAAGGTTATAGGCTTTACAACTTGGAAACCAAAAACATTATAGTTTCCAGAAATGTCATTTTTTTATGAACATGTGCTTCCTTTCAAAGATGACCCACCTACTCCCCCCAGTCCATCCTTACCATGGTTTCCACAGCCTTCTCCTTTTATATTTGATCACATTGAGAATTTACCCCACCAACCTACAATACAGAGTACAAGTCCGTCTACTTCCTTATCATCTATCACCAACAACCAATTACCACCTACTCAGACAGCATCACCCACATTACAACAAACCAATCCACCAGCAACCACTCAACCTCTCATAAAGTCCACAAGAACTATAAATCCACCTACATATCTGGATGTGTATCACCACTCTTTACCAAATACTTACACTACCACTACTTCTGAGGCACATGTTGACAATTCCGGCACATCCCAAATTACTACTCCATCCTATTTGCAACTATTTGTCCACTTCCAATCTATCCACTGCTCATGCATCATTCACTGCATCCATATCATCTCTTGTTGAACCCAAAACTTGTAAGCAAGCAGTTAAGGATCCTCTGTGGCAGGAGGCAATGCAAAAAGAATTAACTGCTCTTGAAAAAACAAATACTTGGGTTTTAACTCATCTGCCACAAGGAAAGCATACTATAGGATGCAAGTGGGTTTTTAAAATTAAGTTTAAACCTGATGGCACAGTAGAGAGATATAAAGCTAGACTTGTAGCAAAGGGCTATACCAAGAAGAGGGTATAGACTACTTTGATACATTCTCTCCTATGGCAAAGATCACCATAGTTAGGTTACTGCTTGTTGTTGCATCCATTAGCATTGGCATGTGCATCAATTATATGTCAACAATGCATTTTTGCATGGTAATTTAGATGAAGAGGTCTATATGACCC